CAAAACACTATTTCTTATAGCCACATGATACATATTGGAGGTATTTCCTAATTTTAAAGACAGATTGTGAAGAGATGAGTCTTGCCAGCTTAACCCACCATCATGAAAACTTTTAAAAGTTAAATTTATTAATAAATAAGCATTTGTTTATAAAAAAATATTAAATATTAAAGTCTTAACACTAATATTCATAATTAATAATATGTTGGTTTGTATGGAAGGAGTTTTATTTTTTTTAAGTAAAATCATAAGTTTGAATTTCATAAATAGAAAAATAAGAGTTATGAGAACTTCTCCTTATAAAATTTGACATAACTTAATTTTAAATTAATTGAAATTTAATATAACTTTTTGATATCAGAAAGTTAATAAAAAAAAGACTTGAATTCATAAAATTTATTTTAAAAAATATATTAGATTGACATAAGATGCATTTTAAAATTATTAAAGAAAAATTAATCTTAAAGTGAATAAAACTAATTCAGGAGACCAAAACAATTCAACTATCATGGATTTATTTATGTAATGAAACACAGCAGCCGTCCTTTTTCCTTTGGAAAATGTCCACCAGCATCTTTTTACTTGGTGTTGACCAGAAAAAGACAAAATAGAGAAAATAAAAGGAAAAGACATCTTAATTCTTTATCTCCAACTTGTATAAAACATGACCAAAATATACAACTAATAGCAAATGCATTTCTACTTACTATTTTACAGAAGATGAAGCTTCAGCTTTTTACAAGTCTGCTCCTCTCTGTGAGCCTTCTGACCCTACCACTCGCTGTTGAAGCCAATCAGGCAGACAGTCTCCGGCAGATGATACAATCCAGGAGGCAACAGAAGGCAACTGAGAGTTTCTGGGAGGAATTCCATGATGCCAAATATTACTCTCCCAAGTACATTTTCCCACAACATGGCTCAATGGATGGTGACAGGGTCGGTGCATTGCCAGGCCAACCAAATGGTGTTGACTTCAACCAATATGCAGGCTATGTCACCGTTGATCCTACTGCCGGCAGAGCACTTTTCTACTACTTCGTCGAGTCACCAGAGAACTCTTCAACCAATCCTCTGGTTTTATGGCTGAATGGGGGACCCGGATGTTCATCCCTTGGGTATGGAGCAATGGAGGAATTAGGACCTTTTAGAGTAAGTGCTGATGGCAAAACACTTTTCAAGAATCCTTATGCATGGAACAAAGGTTAGATATGTAACTAAAACTTACTGTCTCTCTGCAATTTTTTCTACAAACCTCCTCAAAATTAATCATACTAATGTCTATATTATGAGAATTGGATACGAACAGTGGCAAATGTGATCTTCTTGGAATCTCCAGCTGGAGTAGGATTTTCCTATTCCAATACATCTTCGGATTATACCACTGGTGATACTCGCACTGCCAATGATAACTACGCCTTCCTAGTCAACTGGCTGGAGAGGTTCCCACAATACAAACTCAGAGATTTTTTCATCACTGGAGAGAGCTATGCTGGTCACTATGTCCCTCAGCTTGCCATGACAATTCTTGCTAACAACCAAAACACAAATCAAACTGTCATCAATCTTAAAGGCGTTGCGGTATACATGCTCATCAAAAATCAAGGATCTCTTTCAAATTTGGACCGTCTTTACACTTGAGAGGCATAATTTATTTTTCTTCTAACTTTTCAGATTGGAAATGCATATATTGATGCTGGTCCGAAGTACTTGGAGGGCATATATGATTACTATTGGACCCATGCTTTGATCTCAGACGAAACCCACAATGCCATCGTCAAACACTGTGACTTTGTCAACTGGACATACTCTCGCATATGTGGAGACTACTTAGATATTGCAAAGGCAGATGCTGCTGACATCGATCATAATAACATTTATGCTCCACGTTGCCATGATCCTGCAGAGAACAAAGGAGTACCCAGTTCTGTAAGTAGTTCAGTTACATTCAATAATTAGCTACTCTAATTTATCAATCAAATGCCAAAAGTGTACTAAATAATGATATTTATTAATGATTTAGTACCCTTTTTTTTTTCCTGTTTCTTTTTCATTTCAGATTGACAACTTCGATCCCTGCTCAGACAACTATGTGCATTCATATCTTAATACTCCAGAGGTACAAACGGCTTTCCATGCAAGGCCCACAAGCTGGGAATCCTGCAATCAAGTTGTGTTTGACAACTGGACTGATAACCCCATTACTGTCTTACCTGTAATTAAAACTCTCATGACAAGCAGCATCAGAGTCTGGCTTTATAGGTAGTTATCTCAATTAATCAATCATTTTTTATATTATTTTACACCTAACATTGAATTAATGAATCTATCAAATGAATTGTAAAATTTTGCAGTGGTGATACCGATGCAGTTGTTCCAGTGACAACATCCAGATATGCAATTGATACGTACAAGCTTCCCATCAAGACTCCTTGGCATCAGTGGTACACCAATCTGGAGGTAATATTTGAAAAAGAAAAAGTACTAGTTCATTAACAATTGACTATTTTCTATTATGAATAGAATGAATTTTAATGATGTAAATTAATTATGAAGGTTGGAGGATATGTGGAGGAGTATGAAGGACTTACATTTGCCACTGTGAGAGGAGCTGGACATCCAGTTCCAAGCTACCAGCCGGAGCGTGCTCTCGTGATGTTTTCCTCTTTCCTTCAAGGAAGCTTCCCTCCTCCACCAAAGGCATGATAGAACCTAACATCCAGTCCCAGTTCAGGAACAATGTAATGGGCTAATTGCAATCACCATGACCAGTCCTCTCACTAATTTCGAGTCAAAGCAAATAAAATCTTAAGTCAAACTGGCAATTGCAATGTGCTTGAGATATGAATTAATAAGACAGAACATGTAGTCATCTATTACTCATTGGTGTTAAAGCAGTTGGTCATTTTCAAAGCAGGGCGTCTTGTTCCTGATCATGGAGAAGCAAACATCGAATCCAATATAACCTCCTCCATCCCAACCTCATCTAGGGGGAATGCACCAAGCATTTCTAAGGTGTCCAACACTTGATCATAGTATAGAAACCTGTTGCCAGAGATGTAATTGACCCCACATCAGCATTTACTTCCAGATGGCTGACCTGAGAACTGCTGCCAAGGGAAGCCAACAATATGGTACACCGTACCATTGCGCTACATTTTAGCCATGCACCATGAAAAAGAAAAGGATGAAGATCCACATGCATTTGTTTCTAACAAAGGACCTCTTCCTTTGCATCAAGAAGCAATAGTTTGGAAAGTCACAAAAGAGAGAAGCTGAGGCAGCTACCACCTACATCTAATACACAAAAAATCAGATGGCCATAAAACGTAACAAGAAATAGGAAAACCAAAGACCTATGGCTTTTTGGAGACCCCTCATAGCAATAGTCTACATAAAGGGATAAACCAGTGATGAATATCAAATACAATACAATATATCCTCCAAAGAGGAAATCCAAGCAAATGAGTTTCTTTAAACTCTGCCCATAGCATCATCAGCAGCCCTTAGTTTCTAATAAAAATTGAAGGTCATTCCAAACTAACCAAAAGGCATTACAGCCAGATCCTCCATCGAAATCAATAGGATTTTAGAGAAAACAAGCGTGACATCTAACGTGTTCAAGATCAATAGCCCAATCTCTTGAATGGGCTAGCATTAATTATTTTTCACGTAAATCCAGTTCGGGTCTCGTTTTCGTTGGGTAGGATTTTGGACTCAGGGGCCCAAATTTTCTGCCCAGTTTTACGGGTAGTTCTTCTTTCTCTCCTTAACAGATACTAAAAGTTGACGACTTTCCTAAGAAAAAAAACTAAGTTGAGAACCCAATGTTAAACCCTTGAACCCAAATCCAAAAAAGCAGTTGTTACATTGTTTGACCTCCTGCAATCGCAACACTGTTGGGAACTTCCAGTAATTTCATCGTTTGACCTCTTCCTGAAACTTCTGCATATTGAATCTATGCCATTGGATTTAGCAGAGTTATGGTAATGACAGTATTTTCCAAGAGTGAAGCAAAAACAAAGCTGGACCGTCCGAAGAAGACGATAGCAACCTTAATCTATCCACTATGTTCACTATATAAGAGGTAGCAAACGCATTGATTTCCACCAACCAAGCTCAGGAACCAATTAAGAAGATGAAGCTTCAGTTTTTCGCAACTGTGCTACTCCCTGCTTGCCTTTTGGCACTTCTCCACGGAGCCGAAGCCAAACAGGCAGACGGTCTCCGCCAGATAATCAAGTCCCGAAGGACTCACAAAAGCTTCGGGGACAAATTTCACGAACACGGGGAGAAAGGGTATTCTCAGGTGTACTTTACGACGCAAGAGGGCTCCATGGATGGTGACAGGCTGGGTACAATTCCTGGTCAACCAAATGGGGTGAATTTTAGCCAATACGCAGGCTATATCACGGTTGATCCAAACGCTGGAAGAGCACTTTTCTACTACTTTGTGGAGTCACCGGAGAACTCTTCCACCAATCCTCTGGTTTTGTGGCTGAACGGAGGACCAGGATGTTCCTCCCTCGGGTATCGAGCAATGGAGGAATTAGGACCTTTTAGAGTAAATGCTGATGGTCTAACCCTTTTCCTGAATCCTTATGCATGGAACAACGGTAAGAAAGAATGCATTCCCATTCGGCCATTCCCCTGTTTTTCAACAACGTTCTCAGAATTAATCATGCTACTTCCTATGCAACAAGTACAATAATGACTATCGGAATGCAGTGGCGAACATTATATTCTTGGAATCACCGGCCTATGCATTCCTTGTCAACTAGCTGGAGAGATTCCCACAATACAAATCCAGAGACTTTTACATCACCGGGGAGAGCTACACCGGCCATTATGTCCCTCAGCTCGCCATGACCATTCTTACTAACAACCAGTACACAAATCAAACCGTCATTAATCTTAAAGGCATAGCAGCATGTATGCTTCTAAAAGAAATTAATCCCCCAATTTTTTTTCATCTAATTCTAACTTAATTGTTTATTGATGACATATTTTCTTTTTCTTCTTCGTCTTTTTTTTTTCTTTTTTTTTTTCAGATTGGGAATGCATGGATTGACGATACCCATCTATGATGGGCATATATGATTATTTGTGGACTCATGCTTTGAACTCGGCTGATACCCACAATGGCATCCTCAAGTATTGTGACTTTGTAAACTGGACATATTCTGAACAATGTAATAACTACGAGCACAATTCAGATATGGAAGTGGGCAAAATTGATTTTTATAACATTTATGCTCCACTTTGCCTAGATCCTGCAAAGAACATTGGAAAACCCGGTTCTGTAAGTCCTTTGCATTTAAAAGGGTAACCTTACATATTTTCTTCGTGATGATTGATGATTTACTATTGAAATTTTTGTCATTTCAGATTGATAAATTTGATCCCTGCACAGATAATGATGTGTATAATTATCTGAATACTCCAGAGGTGCAAATGGCTTTCAATGCAAAGCCAACAAAATGGGATTTTGGCCGGAATTTTGCCTGGACTGATAGTCCCATGACCATCTTACCTATAATTCAGACTCTCATATCAAGTGGCATGAGGGTCTGGTTTTACAGGTAAATAATTTATATATCATGTTAATTGTTCTTATCCTTGAATTAATGCATGGATTGAATGAACTGAAAAATGTTGTAGTTGCGATTCCGATTCGATTGTTCCAGTTACATCATCCAGATACTCTATTAATACCTAAAACCTTCCGATTAAGACTCCTTGGCGTGCATGGAGCACTAATAATGAGGTAAACAGAAAATAAAAGAAATTAACATCATGGTAGAAACCTTCTCTTTGTGGGATACCAAGATATAAAATATTAACATCTCCTCTACTTTCTCTTCTAACATAAATCCTTCCATCCCCTCCTCTCAATCTCTCACAATCCAAACACGCTCTAAAATTAATCATGGCTTCTGATTTTCAGTGTTCTTTTGTTTATATACATTCCATCAAGAATCGAACTATATTTTGATGTTGTTAATTAAACAGGTTGGAGGATATGTTGAGGAATATGAAGGGCTGACATTCGTCACAGTGAGAGGGTCTGGACATATGGTTCCTAGCAACCAACCGGAGCGCTCTCTCACCATGTTTTCCTCTTTCCTTCAAGGAACTTTACCGCCGTTGCAGTGATCATCCTGGCTGTTCTTGTATTGTTGATAAGTTGAATAACTAATACTATTTTCCTAATAAGTTTTCTTTTTTCCCCAATGTATGACGCGAAATAACCACGTCCTGTAAAAGGATACAAATTAAGATGACTCAATAAAATTGGTTTTGGTCTCTGTATGCAATGCATACTTTGGGATAAAACAGGTTAACTGTTCTGCTTGCTCTGAGCCATTGTTGGGTTCAATTTATGGTTGCTTTAGATACATTAAAGAATATCACATCCAAAAGTAAACTGATGTACGGGGTAAAAGTCAGATCCCTTGCAAATGTTGAGAGGAAGAGATAGTTATGAGAAAAGGGATACAGGCAGCAACTGCCCATTTATTTCATTTCATCCAAGTTCGTAGCAAACAGGGAAACGCCGAAGTTTGTCAAGAATTAATTACTTTGATTTGATATAAGGAGTTCCAGTCTCGTTCGTTGGGTAAGATTTTGGACTCAGAGACCCAAATGTTCTGCCAATTAGAAGAGCTCCAGTTTTATAGTCTCGGCATCAAGAGATTCAAACTTGAGAACCCAAAGAAGTAGTTGTTTCATTGTTTGACCTCCTCCTAGTCGGTAGTTCCAGTTCTTTCATCGCTTGACCTCTGCCTGAAACTTCTGTTTGAAATCTATGCCATTGGGTTTAGCTAGTTAAATACATTGTGAAACCTGACTCTTTCGAAATAGCCAAATATATGATCCAATACTGATAACGGTGATTTTGCCACCGGAGGATACCTGGAAAAGCTTCAGATGCTCCAGAAACATGCGTGCGTGAAGAAGAAAAGCTACTTACTTGGTGATATATTTTCCTTTTTTCAGATTGGGAATGCATGGATTGACGATACGACATCTAGGATGCGCATATATGATTATTTGTGGACTCATCTTTGAACTCGGATGAAACCCACAATGGCATCCTCAAGTACTGTGACTTCGTCAACTGGACAGATTCTGAACAATGTACTAAGTACAAGAAAGCTTCAACGGATGAAGCAGGCAAATATATAAATGAACTAGTTCCTTTATTTACAAGTAAATA